CCCTTGTGCTCACAAAACTGCAGCCAAAGGCAGCCCAGCTCACGCCAGAGTGGGTCTTCCGGCTGAGCATGCAAGAGAACATGAGAGATGAAATGGAGGCACCTTCCCAGATCCTCTGAATCTTCCATTTCCTGCCAGTGGTTGCTAAGGCAGCAGCACTACAGAGTGGCTCCAGCTCTGCAACAAAATGGTAGCCAATATCATTCAAGGTAAAAGCTGACAAAGTGCTTTTGCCTCACTAGCTAAGGAGGGAGACAGACCCCTGCTCAATATTGCTGTGCTGAGGCATAGTGTGAAGACACACAGACTTTGCCTTGATGCACACTCTAGGTCTTGCCACAGCTTCCCCATAGGCCAATCTTCCCCTTTTCCCCCAAAGACCACCTCTGCTGTGCCAAAACTCACACCAGCAACATAAATCACACATTCTGCAGTATATTTCTCCGCTTAAGGCTGGTAAAGGGCTGGACTGGCCAAACTGGGCAAGGCTTTGATTTACTCCACCATTCTCTAGTGAAGAAAGGGTGAACGCAGTATAAAACAGAAGTGCAGCAGAAGTGAAGCTCAGAAAGGCTGAACAGCCTTGAAGTTCAAAACAACCAGCTTTCAAACAACATTTTCCTTATGCTAGAGTTTACCAAGGTCCAGTATTTAGTCACAACAGGAGCTGAGGTTCAGACTCTGTTTGCTGCTTGTGGTTTGGTTAGTGAAATATTCCATATCTGCCCCTTTACACTTTGTCTTTCAGGGGGACTAAACAGGATCACTAATCACCAACTGAGAAAAGACAGGAGAGAAAGAAATTAACTTAAGGCAGATATGAAATACAAACTCTTCAGTTTTCCATTAAAATACTGTGGTTGCTAACAGTGAGACTGTTGGTGTGAGACAGAGAAAGAACCTTTCAAAAAAGTACACAAACATTTCTGTAACTAAATTATTATTTGAATAATATCAAGAGAAATACTTGTGTTGCTCTTATTGCTTCTGGGAAAAGTAAAATCCTATCCACCAAGATCTTTGTAGACAGCAGCAGAAACATCACATGCAAACTTTTGCTACTTCACCTCTTGCGTTAGGATGGTTAAAAAGTTTAACCATTATGCTTACTATAGTGCTGGCTTTGTCACAACTCATGTATCTACCAACAGGCTAAGGAAATCAGAGACATATGTGTTAACATGAAAAAAATAACTGAGTGCCACAGAGGACCAGATACCCTGCTGTCAAGGTCAGTGAAGTCTGTGAGCATCATAGGGGTAAGACATTCAAATCTTCAGGGATCAAGATTAAAGATTATATTAGCTTTAGAGGAAGCAAAGAATCTTGTTCTTCAGTAGGAGGTTTACTGCCTAAGATGCTGCCCTAGCAACTGATGCACAGTAAAAAAGCATCAGGTAAGACAAAATTAAATCTGAAATAATAAGCAGGTAATGGAAAACATAGGAAAACAAGGGAATTAGAAATCATAATTTTCTTGCAAGCATTTAACTACACAAGAATCTCTGGAGGTACTAACTCCTGCTTCACAACTTTTTAGATAATTATTTTTTCTCATTCTAAAAGCTTCATTTTAATTAGCTCCCAAGTTGAGCTACTATGAAGAGTTTTTATTTTCATTATCTTTTTACTATATGTAAAAAACAGTGGCTTCAAAAATAGGTACTCATTAAAAATAATGAGTGGTTTTGATACTGCTTAAATATATTCAAGTGATACAGGAAAAAGAAATTGTTGGGGGCTTGTCATTATTTAGTTGCTTAGTAACACAGCAGGAAAAAACGTGTTTAAATATCAGAAAACTTAAAAGTTGATTCAGTCTTGAAGTCACTAGTGTTTAAAGAGACACAAGTCCTTAGTCAGATGACAGGTAGGTGCTTACAACAGTTGCCACAAAACTCATTTTGTAGTTTTCTTCATTACAGCTTGGAATTTTTCATGCCATAAACTACAGTAGAAAGAGACATGTGCAATACAGTCAACACTGCAGCAAAATGTGTAAATAGCATAACTGTCAATTTATTGCTCACATTTACATAGCTGTTTAGCCTACAGTTAGGATGTTCAGAGTTTTAAACAAGTACCTATTGACCCAGACATTTATTCCTGTAACACATGCACCTGTTGACAAGATACAGTAATTACTGTGGATTAAAAATGAAGTCCATGAAATGGTATGTTGCATATTTGAATATTATGTAGTATTTTCTTAAATTACTGATGTCTTTCATATAAGCCTTGCCTTGCAATATGAGTATTACACCATAAATAGAAGATGAAACAAGCAGAAATTTCATTTCATACCTCCTAATGAGATATTTCTATTTCATTATTATTTTAACCAGAAAAAGCCCAAGAGGTATTGGACATTTTGATCATTGAGAAACAGCATTTTTAATTGATTTAAAGTGTATCTCACGGAAAGTAACAATCAGCGCAAATGCAGGTTTAATCAAATAGGGGTTCAACTTAAAATTTACCAATGCCAGTAACATAATTAAATAAAATGCCTTTGATTTTGGAGTTCAATTACACTGTTTTAATGCATCACAAACAAATGTTTTAACTATTTCTCTGTAATGCTCAGCTTTGTTGCTGTTTTCTAAAGAAAAGCATGATAGGACATCTCTATCAAAATATTTAGGTTATCACTTGATTCGATTCCACTTAAAGTGTACAGTTTTGCAACCAGTTTACAATTAGCACTCATTTCTCAGGCATGAGTTGACCCACTTACACAATGTGGTAAATCCATGCCTTTTAGGATTTTTCTGGATGGCTTATTTTGCATCCCCCACACAACTCCTTTTGTCAATATAGCAAGCAAGGTTAAAGCCATCCTGTCAAACTTATTTATTTAAATTAGAATCAGAAAGACTACACTATTCCCTGTGGAACTTTACTGAAAACTTTGAAACTTTGAGATGTATTTTAACATCAGAAAGACTCTATAACTTTTGTAATCAACTAATTTCAAAAGAAAGCAGTGATATGGAAAGAAACAATACTTACAGCAATTTCTTCTACAAACTTATAAAAAAGGCTTCTGAAATCCTAGAAAAAATGTAAGAAACCACAATAATGTGTATCATATAATTTGCTTAAAAAAAAAGAGAGAAAAGATTTTTTTTCTAAACAATCCTATAGAATAAAGCCAGATGGAATAAAACCTTTTAAGAGGCAGACATGTAGGCGTCACATCTGCTTGCTTTGACTACCAGAGATCCACTTAACCTAAAATATTTCCCCCTACAACTCTGAGGACAGCTTCAGCTTCACATTTGTGATGATTCCTTCGAGATCACCTACCCATCCTCACTGTGGGGCTGCTGAAAGAGAGACTTCCCTAAGCAGAAATTGTCCCAAGGTCAAGTGTCATTCAAGTCCAAACAGACTTGTGTCTGACAGACAAGTACTTCCATTTTACGCAATTTGCTGATGTGGTGTTTCTCTCACACATTAGTAGCTTACCAGAACTTCAGTATAGATTTGGGGTTAGTGTTTCAATGAACTTGCCCAAATGCCTATGTGAATTTGCACATTTAAATGCTATTGTGGGCACTATGGGATATAACAGCTCAAACAACTCACTAACACCCATTATAAATCTCTATTTTTAATGTTAGCAGTTCTTCCAAATGCAGTTGCTTCTCTTGGGCAGGGGGTTGTTTTCCAGCTTCTAAATGATAAATTGTTTCTGTTCTTTCTAGTGAAGAGTTATGCATCTTTCCACCTGTGTTACAATAAAAGTAGTCTCATATGTCACGGATAGTCTCTAATGCTTTTCTACTCTGTACCAGGAAGCTGATCTTGGGCAGATGAAGAATATCACCATGTTAGGAACATCTGTTCTACTACCCCCACAGAATATGACCTAATGTGACTGACTTTTCTAATGCTGCAAATTGAAAGTTCACCTGCTCAGTATTTTTCAATTCCAACCATACTGACAGATTCATATGTAATAATTGTAATGAATATTTGACATTCCAAAAAGTATCCATCTTAGGGTCTAAAACTACTATTTCTTCCCACACACTGGGAAATACTGTCATGTATTTCAGAAGGATTAAGAAAGGAAAACCAACAAAGAAAGGAAGAAGTGAGCAAAGCAGAATGCCATTAAATAAATTAAGACTTTTTACTGAAAGTGTAGATAAAGAATTTATATACACAGGAGCTAATTTAATACTGTCTTTTTCTAACTTTGCATAAAACTTTGATGACCATTAAGAAAGCTTTTCTTTTTTAAGTGGAATGCACACTGAGGTTTGAAATGCATTCTCGAGGATAACCAGTTGCTCACTTACCATAAGGCAGAATTACTTCTGCTTATTCAAAACGAGAAGCCAAAAACATCAACACAGAAATATTAGAAAGTCAAAGGACCTGGAGCTTCTCAGAATTTCAATTTGCATATATCTATCCAAATGAAGATTTCTAGTAAATCCGGAAAGGTTGGACATGACTGTGCATGTATGCTCACTGCACAGGAGCACAGCAGCAACTCCACCTTCTCGCAGAGATATGCCTGTATTAGGAAACAGAATGACAAATTAAACCTAGCTTCCAGCCAGGAAAAAATATGTGTTGAACGCAACTGGTAGATGCTCAATCATGAGTTACATACAGCATATCTGAAATGCAATTGTGTGGAATTAAACCTGCAGCATACCAAATTATGAATAGCTCTTGGAGTTGTAGTTCATGTTAAACTGCCAGAGGAACCAACAGGAGCAGAAGGCTATTGGATAGCATGGCGCACCAAGCCTTCCATGCCTATTGGCGCTTCATACACTAGTCAGCAAGTGCTATTCTGTCTATGTTAGTAGACACCATCATCATATATGACTAGAAGCATATTTTCCAAATGAAACAGCAACCAAAAAATCATGCTTAGGAATATAAAGACAGTGAGATAAAGCGTAAATCACTTCAGAAGCAGTAAAAAACAAACCATTGCCTATAAGCTGTTTTTGTGCGTGACTTAACATGCTTACCCAGTCCCTTCGTTGATGTGCCATGGTTGGTTTTGTGAAATGCAGATCCTGATGATGTTGTCAATTTTTCTTGTTTCATTACATGCTATTCTTCCCCTTCACTTGGATTCGGTGAATGGAAAAAAGCCCTTAGAGACGAGTATCTGCAGGCTGTATGCTGTGAATCCTACAAATGGAGCTCTGGGCCTTGTTGTTAACATCTTCTGCCAATTTTCTCTACAATCTGTTTCGGCAATTTAAAAGACCGTTTTATATTTGAGCAAGTAAACAGGTTGAACAACTGAGTCAATAGCTTCTAAATATGGAGCCATAGCTCAATGTCTGCTAGGGACAGTTTCTAATTTTAGATGTGCAGATGTGCTCAAGTACAGAAGAAAAGTTGTTAGCTTCCTCCTTTAGTTGCTACATGAAGACATATTAATATCACGTCTGAAGTAGTATCCAATTCCTTATCATTTGTTTCTTTCTCCAGAAAGCAGGTTTTTAGTTAATTCAAATTATGACGGAATTCCTGTCCTCTGCTGCTTCCCCTGGAGTTGTATAAATTTAACTGGAGGTAAAATGTGACCCTTGATACTTAAAAAAATATATATAAAAAAATTAAAAGAATAAAAAAGAAAAACATGATCCATATTTCATTAAAGGCAATGAGTACATAGCCTTTCTCATTCAAATTCACGTACAATGTTTTTGAGAATGTTACAAGATTTTCCTGCTCTCTTGCTCTCTCTCTGCATCCAATACAGGTTCCTGATATATGGGGGAGAGATGAACACACACACACATATACACAGAGCCCCTTAAGGTGATTCAGTGACCTCTTCTTTACCAACCCCACTGTCCTTTCTAAATTTTTCACCAAAATAGGATACCTTGGAAATGTGCTTTATAAACCAATTTAATCTGTATTCTTATTTTCCTTTATTTACCTTCAGCTATAGCTGTCTTTTTGCATACAATCCAAACCTCCAGGGTAACAAGTCACATACATATAAATGAACTGCATGACTCCATTTTGCTAGCCCTCAAAGAGAAGAAGGGCACAGATGTGCACTACTTCTTGCTCCCACATGACTTACGTTCGTAACAGCATGAATATGGGAGTGAGAAATACTTACATGGGCTCTCAGTGTAATAAGGGCAGCCACTGTGAAAGCTTCCATGCACCCTTCCAGCCATACAACCAAGCCAGCAACCTCTAACATGGAAGCACTGGTCTTTATCTTAATGAAAGCTTCTCACTCCATCAATTTGTATGGACACCTGTTTTGCTTTATACTTAGCAGACATTTACCAGGAACAGATTTAAGAAAGAGCAACTTATTTCACATAGGATAAAACATACTTCAAGCCATATATCTGGACCTAAAAGTGAAGTGGCAGTACGCTGCAGCTCGTTGCTGCAAACTGCTGAAAGTGTTCCATTTCCCCAAAGGAAATATTATTAGACTGAGTTCCCAGCTCTTCATTTAGCCATGTGTTATGATATTTATTGATAGATAGATAAATAAATAGACCTTTTCCAACTTCTTTAATTATTCTGTTCCTTTTGCCACCTTAACTTTTTCCTTGCAAAATCAGCTTACAGTTAGCTTATAAGCAAAATCACCTATAAAATTATGTGGTATTTTTTTCATTTTGATAATTTATGCATTCATAAAGAAAATCCTCTCAAAGTTCAAAGTAGACAGAAAAGACTACAAGGTCCTTTAACAAAATTAGCACAGTTCTCTGTGTAAACAATATAGATTTTGTGTGTATTAAGTACATATTCAGTGCCAAGAAAACAGTGACATCTGCAGCAGAAGTGATGGGAATTTTATACTTTATTTTATATTTGGAATAACTGAAAAAATACTAGTAAACTTTTATCATACTTACCAACATACATTCTTTTTATAAAAATTATAAATATTCTCACACATATTAATTTGTAAAAATTACTTAAACTTTAAAATGCCTGCTTGGGCACGCAAAAGGTGCTAAAAATCCTTCAAACTCATCAGCAAAAAAAGCTGTCTAGTTTATGCAGCCATCCCTACATTAATCTAAACTAGCAAGCTAGTATGTGTGGTTTACACCTTTTAAGCTAACTAAATGGTAAGAAGCTGTAATACTTGTAGTTTGGGGCAGCTGAACCTGCATGTCCTGGAGAGGCTTTATGATACTTCCTAACAAGCCTGTTGTACATCTGCAGAACTAAGCTTTTAGGCACTGGGATAAATTTCATTCTTTTCTAAGAAAATCAATTCTGGTCCTGATACATCCATCGAAGCAGAAATAAATTCCACAGAGTTGGTCTAGTGTTCAGGACTGCTGGTGGCAAAACAGCAACCAAAACCCAATGCACTCTCCTCCCACTCCCCTCACTCTTTTTACCTCCCAACGTTTATACTGATAGCATTCTTCAAAAAGTTGGAGGACTGCAATAATATTCATGTATGCGGTGAAACTTATCTTAGGACAAAAAGACAATATTTTACAAAGATTTCTGCTAAATAATGTTGATAATGTTATTTATGTTTAATGATGTTATTTATCTTCATCAACAACAGCTAAACATTTAACTGTGCTCACTTACCCTTTCAATGAAGTTGTTACAATTTTGTTTCAAATAGGGCTCTTTGAGAAGTTTCTAATACTTCCAGGTGAAATCAAAATAAAACTGAAAATTAAATATATATGTTAGTATTCTTCCATTTTTCTATATATGAAAAGTAAAATCATTTTAGAATTATTAAAGTGCTTACCTTTCAGTGTCTTGAAACCTTAAATAGATCCTTAGTCCACGTCTTATACTGTTTATCTGATAAATACAGAAGCTACTCTGTGTGGAATGCATTTCTATAATACCGGAGTGTTCTAATTAGATTCAAGTTGTAGACTATGTAGAATTATCTTTCTAGGATATAATGCTATAAATCAAATTATTCCTTTTGCACAAGCATAAATTAAATGCAATTGCTTTTATCATGCATGTTTTAAAATTCAATTTTAACCTTCAAGATAATTATTTCTAATAGAGTCCATGACTTGGAATCTCTATCAGCTACATCCATCAAGAAAATAAAACAATTCTGTATTGTTAAGACTGAATGGAACAACTCCGTATTATTAGGACTGGATGGAACAAATCTATATTGTTAAGACTGGGTGGTTGGGAATAAAGGGACAGGAGTGGTACATCCAACCACCAAGAAAAAAACTGGGGAGGGGGGACACACAAAAAACAAACACTTTTAACATTTAAAAATCTACTTCTGGGTCTGAAAAGGCACATAGATGTATCTGGTGCAGGATCCAGACAGTGTTATAAAATATGCAAGAAGATCTGCTAGAAGGGAAACCTCAGTGTCCCCGTCAAAAAATAGAGGTGGGAAGAAAATTCTTTCCCATTTCACAAAACTACTTGCCTGTTTTTACTTTCCCCCTTTCCCACAACAGAAAACCCAATATGCTTTGAACAAAAATTAGAGAAAATGTATGCAAGTGACCTGTGTCATACTATTCTATACTCTGATGTTGAGGATACCGGGCTTGGGAGATCTAATTAAATTTCTTGGCCATGCTAATATCCAAAACTGAGTATCATAGGCGTGCTGTAGGGTACTCCTCTCAGCTTCTCAGAAAGCAGACCCATGCAGGGGATTAAGTATTCATCAGAGCATTGCTCGTTTCATCTCCTTGATGCGTTCCAGAGCTACCCCACACAAAAGAATCACTCTTGCTTGAAGAAGCTATGTAGGTCATGAGAGGACCTAATTTAAGTTCTTGGTCTGAATAAAAAATACAGCTGATTAAAACCAGGTACTCACTGAAGTTTCCCAGATCCCAGATGGAAGTCTTAATGGCCATGCTTTTTGCCATTCTGAAGAATTCGTCTTTCTCTCTCACAGACCAGAAATTTCAGTTAGCTGCATCATTAACATAAGGTACGTGCTCTTATTCTCATCTTATCTATACAAGGGAGCATTTGCACAACTCTTAAGTTAACTGTCCTCCCCACTGACCAAGGGAACAGGAAATGAGCCCCAATTTTTCACCTCAAAGACCAGATCTGGACATCAAAATTTTAACTGATGAATGCTTCAGCAAGAATGATACATCTCCATTGCTATGATAAACTAGCATTATTCAATTACTCTCCTTTACAATAACATCTCTACCTGAAAGAATTTTCTTCCAAGTGAATAAACTCCATCATTTTCTTCTGATCATACTTACACCGGGTGGATCCGATTCCATGATGTTATTTTATTACTACAAGGAATGATAAAAACTGTTTACAAAATAATCTATGGAGACAAGTTCTTGCAGCCGAAGAAGGGATGGAAGCCAGGACAAGCTACTGATACTGCTTCTGTATCACTGCTAGCTCACACTAGCTTCTACCTATTTCACATATATCATAACTTGCACTATGTATTACCCAATATTCCATCATGCAGTAGGTTAAGCATGCTGAAGGGAATATGATATAACTAAATATCTTTTCTAGTGAAAACATAAGTCAGAAAAAGTCCCACTTTAAAAAAACACACTCTTGAAAGCATTCTGCATTCACGCTTTACAGTAATGAAGCGCATGGTTAAGTTTTGTTATTTGATGTTCTTTTCTCATCTTGGAGAACATGTATTTTCTTTTAAAACTGAGCATCAAAATATTATCTGCTTCTAGAAAACTCTGTCTTGTCAGTTATGCTAATTTTGACAGCCCCTGCTAAAAAAAGACAAACCTTTATAGTTTATATAAATTATATAGTTTACATTCAAATAGTTACAGAAGTATTCTTACTTGCTAGCAAGTCTATAAAAATAAAAGTGTCAAATCATTTTAGTATAGAAAATACTGTGAGCATACTTGGTGAAAGCTGGAGAGGTGAACACACATTGCCAATGTGCTGTACAAGTCCATGGCATAAGGTTACACACACTTCAAAATCTGCCATACACAAATCAGTCACCAAAATTAGATTCTTCACTCTCACAGACTTCATCAGAAACACCAACAAACACGCCTTTTCTTAGACACACTATTTCTCCATCTACAATCACTTTAGGTGGCAGTCACATACATTACTGATTTGTTCCTGAGTCCTTTTCAGTCTTTGTAACTCCGGCGTATCGGTCACAATACTGAACCCTCTTCCTTTGCTTTCTTCAAAGTCCCTTTTGTATTTTACCTAGAGAATAGAAAATACAGAACAGGGTTGTTTTCATTTTCCACAATGTGCCTCTAGCAATCCTTTTCCACTGTAAATAAAGCACTTGTGAAAGGCTTTCAGCCCTTAAAGGAGAAGCCTGCCTTCATCCATGAGCTAAGATAGGCAGCAACTAGACAAAATTCTGTAGTACCCAAGCAACTGCCTCCTCCAGAGTGCTATGGGTTTACCTCCACATGGACTGCAAGTGTGGGAAGATCACCATCCATAGCCTTTTCATTCTCAGAGTAGCAACCACAGAACTGTAAATGGCAATGGAGCATCAAGCAAGCACTTATTTTCACACAAAAAATAGCTATAACTAAATCTGGAAGTTTTCTAAATGCACAGCCTTGCATTTCAGCCTGTCTTTATAAGTTCCCCAGTTCAAACATAAGTTATACATTTTAAAAATGCTGCATTAAAAGAGTCTTTAGAATGTTGCAAAGTTAAACATTCATAACTTAGGCAATGGCTGCTCACTGTACAAGCTTAAGTTTATCCCTCTTGCACATACGTATTAGGATATCATCTTTAATCATGTACTTATCTATTTATTACTCTTTGGCAAGGCCCCCTGCTTTATTCTGTACACAGCAGAGGTGGTTCCATATGTGGTTGTATCCTTTTTCAGACCAAACTATTCAAATCCTATCATCAAGGCAGGGATATTAGTTTTCTCAGGAACTTTTTATAGCTCTGATCACAGTCATTAATCAATCTTTATAATGCACCCTGGAAAGTAGGAATGGCATTATCTACCTTTCTAGAATAACCTGCTAACAGAGGTGAAAAAAGCTTAATTTCCAAAAACATACACACATCTCAGGGTGTTTGCTCTCAGATTCCTAACACTTGAATATGTTCAAATTATGGACTTAAGTTACTTGTATAAATACCCAGTACTTTTGCAAATTAGTCTAGGGGATCTCAGTTTCAGCATAAAGAAACAAGATGAAATCCGCAAAACATGCAGTCACTGCTGAGCCACAGACAAAACTCTGTAGCAAAGACAGTGTTGGAACCCACATCTCTATGCGTGGGTTCAGCTACCTTATCCATAATGACTTCCTTTTACTTCCTATGTCCCCTGCTTTATTTACTACACAGGTCCAGATTTTGCAACACATGGGAGAGCAGTAGTACAAAAACAGTATTCTCCTTTAGATTACTGATAACAAGCAAACATTCAGCTTATGCACCAAACTTGTAGTTCAAGGTTGGCTTTCAAATGTTATGATGGTGATTAACAGGAAAAAGTACCCCTAGGTCACAAAAGTAAAGTTTCATAAGGCTATATAACAGTCTGTCCTGCCTATCCTAATCTTCAGTGTATATGTTTCTAAACTTTACTTTTTCTTTAAATGCAGTTTTAGTGTATATAGTTATATTGTGTACAGTTCACACATAGGCATATCATACAAATCCTTGAGACACTTCAGCACATCACTGCAGCAACAAACTACCATTTCCCCTGTGCTCCACCTTCAGTGCTAGCTGAAATTCATATACAAATGACTGCAGATTTCAAACAAGTATATTCTTTTCATGCCACCCTGAGACTAAGGAAACACCACTTCACTCAATATTTTGAGGAAAGCATGGGCTGGCGACCCATGCTTTTCTGTTCATCTCCACCAGGTTCAACCCTTCGGCACCTTTCCTTCCATTTGACCACCATTATCAGATATCATTTTGTCTCCCTCTGAGCTTCTAAACTAATCAAGTCAAATCTCCACGGCTTCTTGCTAAACCCCTTTATCTTCAAATACCTTTCTCAAATATACTTTTTCCATTGCTTATCATCTCCTTTTACTTCTACCAAATTGCTCTGTATCTTCCCACTGATTCTCAGAGGCTTCCTTAAACATACTGGGTGGACATAATATTCCAAGACTGCCTGGTGCTAAGCAAGAGGTTTTATAAGTATATATGAACTTTATTTGAAGCCATACAAAACCTTACCAAATCTGGACAGACTTCCATGGCCAAGGACACATGCCTAACACAAAAGACTCTTCCATCTCAGTAAGCTTCAACTCCTCAGCCCTAAATAAGTGAATAAAAGTTTATTCTAGTCTCAGCCTTGGAAACAGCTGTGTATTTGGCACAAAAAAATCCAAATTTGGCCTGACGCAAACAGCTGATGAGGAAATGTTCAGCCTTACTGCTTAAAGTTTACCAGAATTAAGAGCAAGGAAACACATCTCTTACAATGAGAAATGGGCTCAGCCCAGCCTCTGAGAGAGATCACCTATTGTTAGCAAGATCATTTCCTGTTATTAGCTCCAAATGTACCGGCTATTAACTTCAAATGACCTTTATTCATTTTACAAAGGAATTGAAGAAAAGAAAGGGAAACCAGTTTTAACTTCCCATTATTTTAATCCTTCAGTCAGATAAAAAGGGCTCCCACTCTCTATTAATAAATTACTTCACAGGAGTAAGGTTAGGGTTATCCCTCAGAGCAACTATTCTGAAATCATTAAAAAGTATTTTAAACATTAGCAGAGTTAATTTGTGCATTACTGGATTTTGCTATCCTATTTCCAAAAGTAGTTTTAAATTATAAAAATCACAAGGAAATGTAATGTTTCATGAAGACCACGGTTCAGTGAAATGTGGCTCACTAAATACACAAGTTATAAGTTAAAAAATAAAAGAAAAAACTCAGATTTCAGAAAATATCAAATAATAAAGATGCCATCAGTTATTTAGAATTTGGATCAAAAAAAGTCCTATTCAATATCAAGAAGGGATATTAATGGAGAGGTGAAAAAACAACTGCTGACTGATCTTCAGTTTTAGATAGTTTAAAAATTCTAATAAAAAAATGAGTTACTACAAAATCAGGGATTAAAATGCAATTTAATTGCTTTAAAATAATTTACAGTAGAAAAGACTATTCTGTATAGGAGCTGTAAACATCACTATAATGAAGGATTTAACTGCTTACCAGGTCTGTATGGGGTGGAGTTAACTTTCCTCACAGCAGCCTTACTGCTAGGCTTTGCATTTGTAGCTAAGATGGTGCTGATAACACACCAATGTTTTACACGTGGCTGACCAGTGCTGGCACAGCATCAAGGCTGTCTCCCCAGCCTCACCCAAAGGCCAGAAGGC